CACCCACAAGCAGAGGACGCAGGAGGGGAGATCAGCTCCGTGTCCTCCCTCGCTGCAGGTGAACGGCAGCCAGGTGAGCATCCCCTTCGTCACGGGGCTCTCCACCAAGATCTTCAGCCAGGAGGGCTTCCTGGTCATCGACTCCAGCCCGGACATCCAGATCCGCTACAACGGCTTCAACGTCATCAAGATCACCATCGGGGAGCGGCTGCAGAACAAGGTGTGCGGCCTCTGCGGCAACTTCAACGGCGACCGCACGGACGACTACGCGACGCTGCGGGGGAAGCCGGCGGTCAGCAGCGTGGTGCTGGCCCAGAGCTGGAAGACCAATGGCATGCAGAAGAGGTGAGTGGTGGGGCAGCCCTTCCCCGTGGGGTGGGAGCGGGGCTGGCCACACGAACCCCCCGCCACGTGTCCGGTGCCCACAGCTGCAACGAGCTGCAGTACTCGCAGTACGCCGCCTCCTGCGACAACGTCCAGATCCAGGAGCTGCAGAGCGACAGCTACTGCCTGAAGCTGACGGACATGAAGGGCTTCTTCCAGCCCTGCTACGGCCTCCTGGACCCGCTGCCCTTCTATGAGTCCTGCTTCCTGGACGGCTGCTACAACCACAAGAAGGTGCAGCTGTGCGGCTCGCTGGCCGCCTACGGGGAGGCGTGCCGCGCCTTCGGCATCCTGGGCACCGAGTGGATCGAGAAGGAGAATTGCTGTAAGGCAGCCAGGGGCCGGCTGGGTGGAGGGGAGAGGGGTCGGAGAGGTGCCTGCCCTGCGCTCCGAGGGTGAAGGTCGTGTTTGTGCTCTGCCTTGTGCTGTTTAGCAGGAGTGGTGGAAGATCCCTGCGTGGGCGCCGACTGCCCCAACCGCACGTGCGAGCTGGACAACGGCGGGGAGCTGTGCGGCTGCATCGAGCCCCCGCCCTACGGGAACAGTGAGTGCCCTGGGCATGGCTGTGGGGTCGGTGCTGAGCGGTGTGCTGGGCTATGGGATGTAGGACGGGCAGGGCACACCACAGGAGACAATCCCCACCCATTTCTATTGCTGGTGGTGGGGAGGAGTGCTGGTGGTGATCTGAACTTGTCTCATCTTCTCCTCCAGCCACCCATGACATCATTGATGCGGAGGTGACCTGCAAAGCCGCCCAAATGGAGGTGTCCATTTCCAAGTGCAAACTGTTCCAGCTGGGCTTCGAGCGTGAGGGGGTGCGGGTCAACGACCGCCACTGCCCCGGCATCGAAGGGGAGGACTTCATCTCCTTCCAGATCAACAACACCAAGGGCAACTGTGGCAACCTGGTGCAGGTGAGCTGGGACATGGGACCTGGAGAACTGGGAGTGGGGGCCAGACCTCCACAGCAGCCCAGCTTGACACCATGGTTGGGGCAGGGCCACACACTGATGAGAGCGATGCTTGGGAGCTGCTTTCATGGGTTGAGGGTCCACCCAGGGATAGGAGGAGAACAGAGTTAGGTCTTGTGGAGTAAGGGTTGTGGTTCCTCACCTCACCATTCCATACCCTTTCTGGCCAGGGGCAGTGGAGTGGCAGCAGGATCCTTAGTGTCACACAGCTTGTTTAGAGGCCAAGGTGTCTGTAGGAGCAGGGGAGGAGATGGCTGGCCTCAAACAATGCCCTGTGTCCCCTCTGCAGTCCAACAGCACACACATAGTGTACAAGAACACGGTGTGGATCGAGAGTGCAAACAACACAGGCAACATCATCACCCGGGACCGGACCATCAACGTGGAGTTCTCCTGTGCCTATGAGCTGGACATCAAGATCTCCCTGGATTCAGTCGTGCGGCCGATGCTCAGGTAGGATCCAGGGCCAACTGCACAGGTGGAGGAGGAGGCAGCAAGATCTCCAAAGCAAGGCACCAGTCTAAGCCAGTATTTTTTGTGTCATTAGTGTGATTAACCTGACGGTGCCGACGCAGGAAGGGAGCTTCACCACCAAGATGGCCCTGTACAAGAACTCGTCCTACAAGCACCCTTACCGGCAGGGCGAGGTGGTGCTCACCACCCGGGACGTGCTCTACGTGGGGGTCTTTGTGGTGGGGGCCGACTCCAACCACTTGATCCTGATGCTGAACAAGTGCTACGCGACCCCCTCGCGGGACAGCAACGACAAACTGCGCTACTTCATCATCGAGGGAGGGTGAGCGGCCCGGGGCCAGCATGGCCTCTTGGTTTCCATGGTGTCTGTTGGGGAGAGTGCTCGAAGGGGTGGTGGCATCACTTTTGGATTTTTGGCCAGTGATCAAGGTTTGGAAAGGGCAGGGAACAAGGCAGCCAGTGCTGCTAGGGCAGGATTAATTTGCTTAGAATTTGCTTAGAGTGGAGGTGGCCAGAGGTCCTGTGTGTGACAAGAGACCCAGATGTGCAGAGAAGTGACCTTCCTCATGTTAATGATGAGCAATGGGATGTCTGCAGCAGACAGGGGGATAAGGATCATGGCACAGGCATTTTGGGAAGTGGGAGTACAATGAAGTTGGAAGTGCCAGAGGGAGGTTACAGTGGCAGGGCATGACATCTCTGTTCAGACAAGCACACCACTGTGGGGCTCAGGGTGAGGGGGCCTTGCAGGGACAGGGGAGAGTGGTGTCCCTTGAGGGAGGGTCACAGGAGGGTCGTGGTGAGCATCAGTGCTTTGCACAGGTGCCAAAACATGAAGGACAACACCATTGGCATCGAGGAGAACGGGGTGTCCTTGACGTGTCGCTTCCACGTCACCGTGTTCAAGTTCATCGGGGACTACGACGAGGTTCACCTGCACTGCGCCGTCTCACTCTGTGATTCGGAGAAATACTCCTGCAAAATAGTAAGTGGGGCAAGTGCAGAGGGGCCCAGGTTGCTTGGTTTGAAGGGCTGTGTTGGAGTGCAGCAAGCCCAGTCGATGTGGCGATCAAGGATGTAGCTCTGGGGGTGAGAGCAGGAGGGCTGTGTGGGAGGGGCTCTGCAACCTGGAGACCTGAGCATGGTTGCAGGGTCCCTTTGGGAGCTGGGCTGGACTGAGGGGCACAAAGAGGGCCCAGACAAGGGTGAAGGTGACAGAAGTGGTGTTTATCCCCGCACAGAACTGCCCCCAGCACACGAGGATGGCCAGCGCGTTCGCCGAGGAGTCCAAGGAGCAGATCCTCTCAGTGGGGCCCATCAGGAGGAAGCGTAAGTGTGCGACCCCAGGGAAGGCTGGGGGGGGTGTTTTCTGCCATCCCAGTCTCGGGCAGCCAAGGACTGGGGTCTGGGAGCGCTGCTCAGGTGTCCCCCTTTGCCGTGTGTGCCCAGGATCGGACTGGTGCGAGGACAACGGGGGCTGCGAGCAGATCTGCACGAGCCGGGCGGACGGACCTCTGTGCAGCTGCGTGACAGGGACACTGCAAGGGGACGGCAAGAGCTGCAGGGGCAAGTACCAGGCTTGGGGCAGGCAGAGCAGGGGGCTTCCATGCCCGAGCTGAGGGGCTGTGGGGGTGAGCAGCGTGGGGAAGGTGGCTGGAAGGTGTGGTGTGTCACAGACAGGAGGGATGTGGAGGGCAGGGAGCCAGGTGTGTGCTCTTCCTGGCACCTGAGGGCTGCAGGGCCAATGCTGGCAGATTCTGAGGAGCTGGAAAGGATGATGACAGTGTACATTGTGGTGCAGGGTAGAGTAGATGCCATGGGTAGAGTTTGGGGGCTTGTGGGAGGGGTGCCCAGCAATGAGATCAGGCACTGGGAGGGTGCAGGACCGGCACGATTGGGGGGGCACTCGGGGTGCTGGGGAGGGAGGTACACATTGCACACGTGCCAGGGCCCCAGCTCACATGAGTCCTGTTGTGTTGGCAGCCTCCAGCTCTTCAGGGGAGCAGCGTGCCCAAGTGACCCCTCTGGTGGTGGCCCAGCTGTGGCTGTGGCTGCGGGCGGCTCTGCGGGACCTGACCTCGTAGGGGCGGCTCTGCCACCCCGCCAAAAACTGTTCTCGCGTCAGCCTCAGTCTTTGTAGGGTAGGAGACAGCCCCCCCACCGTGGCCACGCTGCCTCCAACCCTCTGCTGTGAGGAGAGAAGAGGGATGTGACCCGGAGAGAGAGTTTGGATGTGAAGGTGGCACGCGGCAGGCGCAGCGACAGCAACGGCAAGACAGAGCTGGATGTTTGCCCATGGGACTGTGGTTTGGGGGTGGTTTGGTTTTTTTTTTTTACAGGTTTCTATCATTGATGTGGACTCAAGGAGGGGTTTTTGCAGCTTTTCCCCAGGCTTTCCCTTACAGCTGCACTGTAGGTGGCCCACACTGCTGTCAGTGGTGTGGCACAGTCCGGAGTGTGTGTCCCTTTGCACGGACAGCTGTGGGTTTCCACAGCCCTTGGGAGCTGCCATCAGGGTTTTGGGAGCTCCTGGACTCAGCCAGAGGTAGGTGTTGGGGCACAGGCTGTGGGTCAGAGCAGTGCATTGCCACCACTGGATGTTGTGACACCTTGGGACCGTGCCACCCTCTGGCTCTCCGGTGCTGAGGTGTGTGTGCTGGAGAGCCAAACTCATCCCCAGGGGCTCTGGAAGTCTTGGTTTTGTGCTGCAGTGCTGACAAGTCAGTGTCAATATTTGGAAAGAGGTGCTTTCTGGTGGGCAGGAACAAGAGCCAGGGAAAAAGGGGGCTGGAATTCCCTGCTGTGTTTTTGTGAAGGGCCGCGGCAGAGTTGTTCGAGGGTCGGAGCAGGGTTGGGGTCTGCTTGCACAGGGCTGCAGCATTCGGGGTGCCTGGTGGAGCAGCCTTGGGGTGCTGGTGGGTGTGTGTGGGGGGCTGTCTGTGTTGGTGTCTCGTGTTTGTACTCTGTGAAACGGCTGCGTGGGAATAAAAAGTGCTGTAATCCTTCGTAAGCGCCGTGCTCCCGTGTGGTGGTGGCGAGGCCTGGGAGAGGCAGCCCGGGCTGGAGAGGGCTCTGGGCTTGGAAAGAGTCCCTGGGAGGGGTGGGGAGGTGGGTTTTGGGGTGCCAGGCAGAGTCTGCAAAGGGGGCACACCAGAGGTGAGGGTCTGGGTGGGGGCTGGAGCGTGGCTCTGGCAGGTTTGCCGTGGGCTGAAGGGGCAGAGCAGACTGGGGTTGTGGGGCAGGAGGAGGGCAGCTGGTTCCCCTTGCCTCAAGGTGGGTAGCAGGGTGTTGTGGGCCTCTCCTGGCCCTCTGCACCTCATGCCCTCTGTGGTTTAGCTCTCAGTTCTCTCCTTCATCCTTCTCTTCTCCCTCTCACTGCCTCTCTGGTGCCTCCTTCCCCCCTCTCTCTGTGCTCCCTTGCTCTCTCTGTGCCTCTTCACTCTCTGTTTGGTCTCTCCTCTCTGCCCTGCTCTCTCTCTGTGTCCCCCTCTCTTGGTGCTCACTCTCTGCTCTCTCTATGCCTCTCTGCCACCCCTCTCTGATCTCCCTCTCAGTGCCCACCCTGCTGCATCTGCTGGCTCTCTGCCCTCTCCCCATCCCTGCTCTATCTCCCTTTTTGCTCTCCAGGCCTCCTGGCTCTCTCCTCAGTTTTTTTGCCTCACTTCCCCCCCTTCCTTTGTCTTTTGCCCTTTATCCTGGCACCAATAAATGAACTCTGTGGCCAGAGGACGATGAGGAGCGTGGATGTGTCCATACCTGAGGTAGCTGACTCTGTGGCCCAAGGGCCTGTGTGTTTTTCCAGAGGTTGCCCACTGCAGGTGGCCTGTCTGGGGTGGGACAACCCATGGAGCTGATGGTGGAGAGGATCTCCAGGGGCACTGGAGGCAGCTGAGTGGTGCTGGCTGGTGCTTGGTAAGTAGGTAGGTAACCAAGTCATTTATTTAATAGCAGAGCGATGTGATGGGGGGTGCAAGTGGGTTGTGATGATGTTAATGACTTCCTGTGGGTTTTTATAGGTTTTCGCAGGTGTCCAAGCAGTGGTGATGAGCAGAGTGCCTGTCTGCAGGGATTGCAGTGTTGGCCAAGGTCTGTCTCAACCCTTTGTGTGACTTAATAGAATCACAGAATGGTTTGGCTTGGAAGGAACCTTAAAACCCATCCAGTTCCACCCCCTGCCATGGGCAGGGACACCTTCCACCAGTCCAGGCTGCTCCAAGCCCCGTCCAACCTGGCCTTGGACACTTCCAGGGATCCAGGGGCAGCCACAGCTTCTCTGGGCACCCTGTGCCAGGGCCTGCCCACCCTCCCAGGGAAGGATTTCTCCCAAATATCCCATCTAACCCTCTGACAGCCTTTCAGTCACTGGACTGCAGCATCTTGCCTTCACCCTGAGGCAAAGCTGGTTTTGTTACTTGAACTCCAGACTGTAAAACTGGTCCCTGGATGTCAATCTCTCTTTGATCTTAAGCTCTTCAGGTTGTAATTTAATATTTCAAAATCAACTTAATCATACACAGAGGCATAATTAGCAACTATTAGATGGCCTGGGGTAGATCTAACCACGGTGGCTCCATTGGGATGTTGTAAACTGGAATCCTAGAATTTCAAATGCTTCATCTGTGTATTGAAAAATAAAATTAAAAAAAAAAATCCAAACTCTGCTAAACTAAATATTCTAACTATGCATGTTTTCTTTCGCAGCCTTTTGTTGTTCCTTAATCCTTCAGGAGACATGAAAATAAGGTTGAATCAACAGCATGGTGAAGATAATTTAAACAGTGGAAGGAGCTGAAATTGTCTGGAGCAAGGTGACATTTCAACCTTTCTCATGTGTGGAACATTAATGGGTGGGACATTCTTTGTAGGATGTATTAAAACACTTAAATGTGTATATATATATATAAAATATATATTTTTATATATTTTAAAGTGTATATTTCAAAGTATATGTATCTTTTAAAGTGTATGTTTTAAAGTATATGTATATATATGATATATTTTTATATATAATATTTATATGTATTTATCTCAAAGACTAAGACCTTATCCTGACAAATTGTTTCTATTAAAATTCTCTTTAAAGAGGGTGAACATGAACTCAGGCTGACTTAAACAAGACAAAACATTTAATAATCACTAATTACTGTTTATAATTGTAGGAGGGAACAGCCAGTGAAGGGCAGGACTAACTTTTTTCCCACTGGAAAACCCCATTTTGATGCCCCAACTGCTGACTTGGCAGGTGGAATCTGCTGTGAGCTGGGCTTAGACAAGGAAAGTACATCCCAAGAGTTAATGCAGATTTATACAGTGAAGGACTTTTCAGTCCTGCTTCCAAAAAAAGCAGAGTTTTCACAAGCTGGATGTTCCAGGCAGACACTTGGCAGTGGTTTTGAAGAGCAAGGATGATGGAGAGTTGGATCAGAATATACACAGAATAAAGAGCTATGGTAAAATATACACAGAAAATACACAGAATAACAGGAAACAACTGCACCTGGGAAGCAGAGGAAACAAGGAGAAGTAAAGGGTGAAAAAGAGGAAAGAAAACCCCACATGTAAGTGGGTAAATACTTAGTGAGGCCACAGTAACAACAGGAACATCCCTGGGAGGAGAAAAAAATAAAACCACGAAGCAGGTCCTGATTGCAAGAATGAAACAACTCAGTGAGGAGGACATGGATGAGCTGTGCCCTGCCCTTTCTAAGGAAGAAGAAGAAGAAGAAAACACCACTAAATACTAAGAAAAAACATGGAAAAAAAGAAGATATCCTACTCCACCCCTGGCTTTCCTCACTCCCCCCTCATTTCCACACCACACAACCACTGCCCCCCATGGGCCAGCACTCCCTGTTTGAGACCTCGTGGCTAATTTAGGCCAAGTTCAGTAAAGATTAATTTGTTACCTGTGTGATGGTGATGAATAAAGCCTGAGCCTGGCTGTTAATGTGTACTGTCAATGATTGTCAGTCCAGTAAAGCCTGCTTTAAACCTTCAAACCCTGTGGGTGTGTTTGTTTCAAATATATCCCCAAAATGTGCAGCTGCTGAGGGGGAAGGTCTGCAGGGGCAGAGGGAGGTTGGGGTTCAGCTCTACAGGCCAGAGGACACAGAGCAGCAGAGCTTAGGTTGTTCTGCCCAAAATTAACACCATTTTTATCATTCCCAGGTAAAACTGGAGCAGGGGGAGCACCTCTGACCCCCAAATGCTAACTGGTTGACCTAAAGTAACTCCAAAATTACCTAAAATGACCCCAATGACAATGAGTAACCCCAAAATGAACTCAATGACCCCAAAATGAACTCGAGTAACCCCAAAATGAACTCAAGTAACCCCAAAATGAACTCAATGACCCCAAAATGAACTCGAGTGACCCCAAAATGAACTCAATGACCCCAAAATGAACTCGAGTGACCCCAAAATGCCCGATTTTTGACCTAAAGTAACCCCACAATTTTCTGCACAGAGTAAGTTTGACCTACAGTAACCCCAATGACCTAAAGTAACCCCAAAATGAACTCAATGACCCCAAAATGAACTCGAGTGACCCCAAAATGCCCGATTTTTGACCTAAAGTAACCCCAAAATTTTCTGCACAGAGTAAGTTTGACCTGCAGTAACCCCAATGACCTAAAGTAACCCCAAAATGAACTCAATGACCCCAAAATGAATACTTCGAGTGACCCCAAAATGAACTCAGTGATCCCAAAATGCCTAGATTTTTGACCTGAAGTAACTTCAAATTTTCTGCACTGAGTAAGTTTGACCTAGCAAGTAACCTCAATGACCTAAAGTAATCCCAAAATGAACTGAGATGGTAACCCCAAAATGACTCAATGACCCCAAAATGAACTCAGTAGACCCCAAAGTCCGATTTTTGACCTAAAGTAACCCCAAAATTTTCTGCACAGAGTAAGTTTGACCTGCAGTAGCCCCAATGACCTAAAGTAGCCCCAAAATGAACTCAATGACCCCAAAATGAACTCGAGTACCCCAAAATGAACTCGAGTGTCCCCAAAATGCCCGATTTTTGACCTAAAGTAACCCCACAATTTTCTGCGTAAGGTCAAAAAATCGGGCATTCGAGTTCAGGGTTCATTTGAGAGTCTGACTAGTTCATTACAGGAGTTACTAGCGTCATTGAGGCTACTGGTAAGTCAAACTTACTCTGTGCGAAGTTTGAGTCTTTAGGTCAAAAAATCGGTTTGGAGGTTACTGAGTTCATTTTGGAGTTCATTTTGAGAGTTCATTTTGGATGGTCATTGGGGTTACTGCAGGTCAAACTTACTCTGTGCAGAAGGTCTGTGGGGGTTAGCTTTGGGTCAAATGCATTTGGGTCATTGCAGTTCAGTTTGGGGCATTATTCAATGATCATTGAGTTCATTTTGGGGTTACTTTAGGTCATTGGGGTTACTGCAGGTCAAACTCCTGTAGCAGAAAATTTGGGGGTTACTTTAGGTCAAAAATCAGGCATTTGGGGTTACTCGAGTTCATTTTGGGGTCGTGAGTTCATTTTGGGGTTACTGAGTCATTGGGGTACAAATCTCTGTTCAGTTGGGGTTACACAAGTCAGGCATTACTGGGGTCACTGAGTTCATTAGATCTGGGGTTTAGTTGATTCAGTTCATTTTGGGGTTACTCGAGTTCATTTTGGGGTCATTGAGTTCATTTTGGGGTTACTTTAGGTCATTGGGGTTACTGCAGGTCAAACTTATTCTGTGCAGAAAATTGTGGGGTTACTTTAGGTCAAAAATCGGGCATTTTGGGGTCATTGAGTTCATTTTGGGGTTACTCGAGTTCATTTTGGGGTCATTGAGTTCATTTTGGGGTTACTCGAGTTCATTTTGGGGTTACTTTAGGTCATTGGGGTTACTGCAGGTCAAACTTTGTGCAGAGAATTTGGGGGTTACTTTAGGTCAAAAATCGGGCATTTTGGGGTCACTCGAGTTCATTTTGGGGTCATTGAGTTCATTTTGGGGTTACTCAAGTTCATTTTGGGGTCATTGAGTTCATTTTGGGGTTACTTCTGAGGTCATCATTTTGGAGTCATTGAGTTCGTTTTGGGGTTACTTGAGTTCATTTTGGGGTTACTCGAGTTCATTTTGGGGTCATTGAGTTCATTTTGGGGTTACTGAGTTCATTTTGGGGTCATTGAGTTCATTTTGGGGTTACTTTAGGTCATTGGGGTTACTGAAGGTCAAACTTACTCTGTGCAGAAAATTTTGGGGTTACTTTAGGTCAAAAATTGGGCATTTTGGGGTTACTTGAGTTCATTTTGGGGTTACTCGAGTTCATTTTGGGGTCATTGAGTTCATTTTGGGGTTACTCGAGTTCATTTTGGGGTCACTGAGTTCATTTTGGGGTCATTGAGTTCATTTTGGGGTTACTCTGGGTCATTGGGGTTACTGCAGGTCAAACTTACTCTGTGCAGAAAATTTGGGGGTTACTTTAGGTCAAAAATCGGGCATTTTGGGGTCACTCGAGTTCATTTTGGGGTCACTCGAGTTCATTTTGGGGTCATTGAGTTCGTTTTGGGGTCACTCGAGTTCATTTTGGGGTTACTCTGGGTCATTGGGGTTATTCTAGGACACTTTGGGGTTAGCCTTGGCTATTTGGGTCAATGTGAGGTCAAATTCGATCTCTGCAGAGAACTTTGGATTAGTTTAGGTTGTTTTGGGGCCACTGGGGTTGCCTGAGTTCAGTGTGGGGTCATTGGGATCACCTGGGGCCAAGTTCTCTCTCTGGGGACCATCTTAAGTCACCCCCCAAGTCTATCCACTGTGTGAAGTTCTACAAGTTCACCTCACAACAATCCCATGGTCCCCCCAGTCCAGTTTGTTCTCTGATCCTTCTCCCTGCTCTTACCATTTGTATGGATTTTTTTTAATTATTTCCCTTATTTTTGATTCCAGAAGATGAAGTTTCTTCTGCTCTTGGTGCTTCCACCCAGCCAGTCCAAACTGTCAGCTTTGCACTCTAAGTTTAGGATTTATGTCTTACTCCAGTTGACTCTGACCCTACACTGCTGAACATCACACCATGAAAAATACATTTATTTTGGTGGGAACCACGCCTGTGTCAAGAACTATAAAAATCTCTCTCCCTTTTAGCAAGAAGAGCAAACAAGACTGGTTCAGAATAATTTTTATTGAGAAATGATAACAATGTGAAACTTTTTTTTCCCTGCTGAACCTGATTTTTGACTTCTATCAGAATTTCCCTCACCTGAAAATGAAATTATTTTATATTAAGGGTTAAATAAAGATGATTCCATGAAGAATGAAGGGTCTGACTCTCTGCATGGTTTGCTCTGAGATGGGAACAGGAGAGAGCCAGGATTTCCTCAGTGGACAGCTATGGATTTTTCCTCATCAAGATCTTGCATCTGTCCCAGCTGGCTCCAAAATGTGCATCCAACACATGGAATATCCACCTCTGACTGCCTCCAAGATAGGAAGGACCAGGACCTGTTAGAGAGATAAATATTATTTTAGGACAGAATAACATCCTAAAATACCCCACAGTGTCCCTGGACCACCCAACCCATCCTGGACTTTGGTTTATTTCTTTATTGGCAGGGATTTTAAAGCCCCCCAGGGAATTTAAAACTGCACAAGGTTTAAAAGCCAAAAGTGAAATGGTTCTGCTGCACCTGAAAAAATAAAAAAAGTGGTTACAAGAGACTTGACTGCAGGTGATTTTTACTGTTACAAATTCCATTTGTAAGCACTGCTGGTACATTCAAAATGAAATAACTACAGATTTACCGGTGTAAGTGAATTGTAGGTCAAGATATAACTTTTATTCGGCTGCCTTGCTAAAAACCCCACTGGTAATTGTTTTCTCCCTTGTATTTGCACTACAAGGCTCTGTGCATATTTATGACAGCACATCCACACACCAGCAGCTGCACTATTGAAAGAGCTGTTAATAATAAATGGGGCTCAAATTTCCTCATGAATCAGTGTTCCTATTGTGAAACTCTTTTTTTTTTTCTAATGCCTACAACCTCAACAAAATATAATCTTCTGGGCTGGAGGTTCCCTTAATCCACGAGGAAAGCAGTCAAAGGGGTTGGTGTATCTCAACAAAACTGAGCACGGGAGAACATTTTTTGCTCATGTTTGGGGAATAAAAAGGAGAAAATCCAGCTAAAGATCTAATTCCCCTGATTTTAGTGACTGAGGTGGTGTCAGAAATATGTTTTGGTGGATCACTCCACCCCTCCCTCCCAGGGTGGTTGAGATAGAGGCCCACAAGAAGACTTGATAAAAGACCTACACACCTTAGAGCTCTCCAGGTTGAAGTGTTCCCAGTGCTGTGCTGCCCACTTGAAGCAGGAGGTCCCCATGGCTGCAGGAATCCGGGCAGAGACGAGCAGGAATGATTTGAGCCAAGCCCTTGCTGTGCTTCTCTCTTGGAGTCCCTGCCCCAGGCCCTGGAGGAGGAAAAATGTGAGCTTGAGAGGTTGGAGAAGACGTCAGGGAGGAAAAAATTCAGGTTTTCTGGGTGCAGAGGAAAGTAAATAGAACGGCAAAATGGTTTGGGTTGAAAAGGGCGTTAAAAGCTCATCTCATTCCACCCCCTGCCACGGGACAACTTCCACCGTCCCAGGTTGCTCCAAGCTCCATCCCACCTGCCCTTGGGCACTTCCAGGGACGGGGCAGCCACAGCTTCTCTGGCTTCACCCCCGTGGCAGGGGCTGGCACTGCATGAGCCTTGAGGTCCCACCCATCGCGGACCGCCCCCAGGGATGTCCCGGCGGAGGGGACACCGGACACCCAAAACCTCACCCCCAAAACCTCATCCCGGTATCCCCAGGGAAGCTCCGCACGCCCCGCCCCGCCCCCAAAACCCCGCCCAGCAAACCCCTTGGGTCCCGCCCCAAATTTTTGGACCCACCCTCCTAAACCCCGCCCCTTTTTGGCGGTGACATCACCGCCCCGCGGTGGCGCGAGCGGCCCCGCCCCGCTGACGTCACGTGGCGCTACCGGGCGCGGCCACGCCCACCCCGGCCACGCCCCCTTTCCCACCCCCAAGCGCCGCTCCGGGACCCTCGGGCAGGTAACGGGATGGGGGATGTGGGGAGGGGGCACCGGGGACAGGGCGGGGGCACCGGCCCCGCTCCCCGGCTGCGACACCCGCGGGATGTTTCGTTTCCACCGCTCCCAACCCCTTCCGCCACCTGCGGATCCCAAAACTGACCCCCCGTCCTTCCTTCCCCACCCACCCTGCCCGGCTCTCCGCGCCCAGGGGATCGCCCCACGGCGCACGGAACGGACCCCCTGTGCCCCATGTGCTGCTCGAGGTCTGGTTCCCCCCCCAAAAAAAAAAAACCCACATCCTGCTGCCACCCGCGTCCCGCTGTCCCCGGAATGGGATGCTGTCATGCACGCCCCCTCCAAAACAGCAACAGCGGGCAAACGCAGGGGAGCCCCCCACTTTCTGTGCTTTATACCCCATAACCTGGACTTGCCTCTCAGCGATCTGGACAGGCGGCTGACCTACTCTCCCCTCCCAAAAAATCCACCACTGCACCCTGGCTGCCACCCCACCATCCGTGCCCTTTGGACCAGCCCTCCGCTGCCCAGAGCTGGGCAGAGGCCGGGAAGACAGGGCTGAGCTCTCCTGTCACTCCAGCCCTCTCTGTTCCCCGCAGGAGCCACCATGGATCTGGTCCTGGAAGCCGCCGACCACCACCTGCTGACGCCCTACGTGTACCCCGCAGGGTGGCCCGAGGGTGAGCCCTGCCGCCAGCTCCTCAGCCTCTTCGTCATCACCAACCTGGGCGCCCTGGCCCTCTACCTGCTCTTCGGCACCCTCAGCTACTACTTCATCTTCGACCACGAGCTCAAGAAGCACCCCCAGTTCCTAGAGGTGGGTGCCACCCCCCGTGTCACCCCCTGTCAGTGTCCCTCGCCCCATACTCTTCCAAACCGGGCCCGTGCCGTGGCGTGGGTTGTCCCTCTGTGTGTCACAGCCCCCTCTCTCAACCCTCTCGCCCCGCAGAACCAGGTGCGCCGGGAGATCAGCTACGCGCTGCGCTCGCTGCCCTGGATCAGCGTGCCCACGGTCGCCCTGTTCTTCGCCGAGGTGCGGGGCTACAGCAAGCTCTACGACAACATCGAGGACTCCCCGTATGGTGAGACCCTCCCCCCCTCCCAGCCCCCTGCCAGGGCAGGACCTTCTGCCCACTGCCTGGCTGGGCAGCGTGCCCAGAAAATCCTCCTGGGCACCTCCTGCCCCATCTGTTAGTGGAAAACCCAAGGTCTCTCCAGGCCGACATGAGGGGGCACCCATAGACCCTTGCTCAGGGTTGTGCCCCCACTGCTTGGCGCACACCCCTCTCCACAAAAGAGATCCTTCCCTTCCCTGGGTGCAGCTCCTGAACAATCCCTGCCTGACTCGCTTTCCCTGAGTCACGTGAGACTGTCTGACCCTCTCAACACATCTCCCCAAAACACCTGACACAGCTGGGGCATGTCTCCCACCACGAGGGCCACTGCACCTTCCTGACCCCCCTCCTGCCCCTCTCGATGCCCACTCGTGCCCCCTCTAACACCCCTGCTCCCCTAGGCTGGTCTGGCGTCTTCCTCAGCATGCTGTCCTTCCTCTTCTTCACTGACTTTGGCATCTACTGGATACACCGGGGACTCCACCACAAGCTGTTCTATAAGGTATGAGGTGGGATGGCAGTGGGATGGGGTGGCAGGCCCTGGACAAGGGTCCTTGCCCTGCTCTGGGGCCGTGTCCAAGCTGCTCCTCCCAGGGGTGGGAATGGTGGAGTTTGACCCGGTCACCTCAGCTCGGTCCACAGCGTGACGGGAGCTGAGGTGGGAACGTGTCCCTCTCTCACTGTTTGGGTGGTGGTGGCCCAAAGAGCAGCCCATTGGGCTGCGAATCTGGGATTTTAGGGGATCACCTCCCTCGAAAGGGGCCACCCTGACGGCACACCCCGTCCCCGCAGCGCTTCCACAAGCCCCACCACCTGTGGAAGATCGCGACGCCCTTCGCCAGCCACGCCTTCCACCCCGTCGACGGCTTCATGCAGAGCCTGCCCTACCACGTGTACCCCTTCCTCTTCCCCCTGCACAAAGTCACCTACCTGGGCCTCTACATCTTCGTCAACGTCTGGACCATCTCCATCCACGACGGCGACTACCGCGTGCCCCGGTTCCTGCGGCACGTCATCAACGGCTCCGCCCACCACACCGACCACCACCTGTACTTCGACTACAACTACGGGCAGTATTTCACCCTCTGGGACAAGATTGGCGGCTCCTACAAGAGCCCCACGTCCTTTGAGGGCAAAGGCCCCCACGACTACCTGCGCAAGCTCCGGGAGAAAGACGCCGGGGCGCCCAATGGCCTCCCGGCCTCCAAGACCGAGTAGGCTCCCCCTGGCCTGCCCCCTCTCCAGGATGACATTCCCTGGCTGGATCTTGTCCTGTTCCTCCCTGGCCACTTGTGGCTGTTTCCCCACGGACAGAGAGCCCCTGTCCTTGATGGTGTGACCAGCGTGGGGCGATTCGTGCTGAGCCCGACCCTGACCCCAAAACGGCGGCATCCGGCCTCGCTCTGCACCACAGATCTGCCCTGTTCTCCCTGTTGATTCCCTTCCCAGCTACCTTTGGATCTCTGTTAAGGTCCCCTGCGCTGCTTTAGTGCTGTGCTGCTGCTTTACAACAACAATAACATGGCACAAACAGGACAATAACGTGGCACAAATAGGACAGTAACACGGCTCGTGGCAGGGTCCCCGTTTGTCTGCTGTTGCCATCGTGGAGTCCATCGGGACAGGCTGTATTTTGCAAAAAAAAACAAAACAAACAAACAATGCCCACCTTTTGGGGGTGTTGTGGGTCCTCCTGATGGCTCCTCGATGAGCCAGGGCTCGGTGGGACTCCTCGGAGGGACTCGACGCGCTGTCCTCCTTCCTCTCGCCTGGGGACGTCCCGTGGGGTGTGGATGGGACACAGCCCAGAAACAGCCCACCTGTAGGACACAGAGGTACTTTTGAGTCCTGCAGGTCCCTCGAGCTCCCTGAGAACACTGAGGGAGGAGGAACAGACACCTGGATGTGAGGGGCAGGGGCTTCTCCTCACTCGAGGGTTCGTGGCTTGCCCTCCTGAAGGCCCTGGGTGTGTCCTGCTGAAATCTGGTCCCGCTGCCTTTGGGTTCGCCCCGTGTTCAATAAATCTCACTTGCCAACTTGGCTGCTGTTTGGTCCCTTCCTGTGGAAGCCAGTTTCTCCCCTGCAACACCCGTGGCAGGCTTACCCTGGGCAGTGCTGGCAGCAGGTATGTGCAGCACCCCCCCCTCCCCTCTTTATCTGAGCAGGGTTGGGGACAGTATCGCTGAGCAGCCTCCCCATCTGCTCCTCCTGCAGAGGGACTCAACCCCTCTACTCTCAGGGTATGGGTGAGAGCCACAGAGGCCCTGCTGACACCCCTGTGTGGCTCCAAGGGGGTGAAGGTCCTGGCACTGGCTGGGCAAAAATCATACAGGGGACACTGGCTGCCCATCCTCCTGCCACGCCCGTGGGAGCTGCGGCACAGTCAGAGTGGCCAGAGCCACCTCCACTCCCCCAAACCTCCTTACACATAACCACGTCCCTGCACGGTGACTCCTGCGATTCCTGGGCAGGGTGTGGCTCCAGGTCACACCACTCCACCAGGTGACAGCTGTCCCATGTCCTGCCAGCGCCATCCCACACCGGGGCCAGGCTCTGCTCTCACCTCCCCACGTGCACAGGACCCCTGGCCTCTGTTTGCTCATTAACCTGGAGCCCAGAGCTCTGCCCAGGGGTCAAGGCCAGGCCCAGATCGAACACAGTGACAACAGTGCTGACCTTGGCCAACCCTTGGGAAGAGTCCTGGACTTGTCATCAACCCCTCCTCCCACCTTTGCTAAGCCCAGTGCCTGGGCACTCCATCCTGCAGCCCCCGGGGCGAGTGGTGACCCCTCGGCACAGGGATCCTTTCAGGAAAGTAAACCCCTATGAATAAAATAGCATCAAACTCGTGGTGCCCAACACCACAACGCCTGAGAACAGGGGAGATCGTGTCCTCCCGGTCCCACACGTGCCACGCCGAGGCCCCTGGGACAGAACACACGCTCCGCGGTGGCCTCGGGGCGCTGTGGCACGGGGAGATGCTGTTCGGCGTGGGGGGACCCTGGTGCTGCTGCTGCTGCCACAAGGTGGAGGTGTTGCTCGAGACACGCCATCGCAGGAGCTGCACCTGCGTGGATGGCCTTCCTCCTCCTCCTCCTCCTCCTCCTCCTCCTCCTCCTCCTCCTCCTTCTCGCCACCCCAACGTGGGGCAGGAGCAGCTCTGCCAGAGCACACTCGTGGGGTGTCCCTGCTCCTGTTCCACGCCCCCCATCCCCACGTGCCTCACCTGGCTAAGTGGATTTCCCCTGAGCCCCAGCTTGGTCTCTCTGTCTGCAGCATTCACCGTCCCACCCCACAATGAGTGTTTGCTTCCCTCCCTTCACCTCCCAAGCGATGCTGCCCCTCACAGCAGGCAGTGCAGGCTCGTGGGGCCTCACACTGCACACTGCACAGCATTTTCAGTGACGCCCTGGGCACAAAAGGTGACGAGCACAACAATCAGATGCCTCTGGTGACAACCCTGAGCCCTGCAGGAAACACCTACACACCACCACCCACTCCTGATGAAGGCTCTGAGGCCAGTGCCATGAGTGGGATAATGTCTTCAGCATCCCTGTTTTACTGCCTGACTCCAGCAACGCACAACAGGTCCTTTAAACAGCTCAGTCCTCTCTCTCTCTGTGAGGAATGGCAGTTCCAGCCCCTCAGCCCCCTAAACCCTCCAGGATCTCCAAAGCTAAGACAGGGAAAGGTCTCAAGGAAGAGGTGAAAGAAAACCAGGGGGCCAGGGGCTCCTTGCCTTGCTCTTGGAGTTCACAGCTTTTACTGCTGATGAAATCCAGATGGACTTTAAAATAAACTCTGCTCTGTTCCCTCTCCCCTCTACGGCAGGAGACGGGCTCTCTTTTCAAGAAACAAAAAATACCTTTGGCAAAGGAAACCTGTGTTTCCCTCCACAAAGAAAGAGCCATTCATCTGCAAGCATTTACCAGCTTCAACCAGGGAGCTCCTGGCTGCAGCTCTCTCCTCATGCCCACCACACTGACCTGGCTGGAGGGATCCCACGGGGGAAAAAGGGGACCCTTCTTGCTCAGAGCACCAAGCAGAGGCTGGGGGGAGGAAAGCAACCCCCCTCCAAGCACCCATTTCCTCCATTTAGAAACTGCTGCAAAGCCAGTTCCTCATTTCCTACTATTTCTTGTTCTGTTCTTCCTCTATTCCTTATTTTTGTGTTCTTTTTGGGTCGTTCTCACCGTGTCTGCTCCGTAGAGAAACTGGCTAAAGGGATTCCCAGGCAATAAAACTCCCTCATTGACTCTGCCCTTACCCACAGTGACCTCCAGTCCTCCAGAGGGACATTACACCGAGTCAAGACCTCTAAAAGCTTTATTAGGAGGGCTTATAATTGTATTGACTCGATAATTGAAATACACTAACTGGGTTTCTAGGTGAAAGCACCTCGGGGAGAGCTCTGGACAACATTCCTGCTATTAAAGCAAGTGAAATAAGGGGGAGCAGAACTGTCTCGGGGCTGTCCATGGGATTTATAGGTTCCCACTCCTTCCCTGCTGGGCCACATCCATTTTCTCTGATGATTTCCTGACAGCAATAGAAATTCTGGAATGGTGCACAGCAGATGAGGCAGAGGAACCCATCAGTCTGTTCTCAGCACCCCTGAGACACCAGAGGCCAGAACACAGGTAAGACCTTTTCTCAGCAGCAAGACTATGCCCAAAAAACCACCTCTGGTTTAGGGAGACAAGCTGGGGCTGAGCAACAGGCACAGCCCAACTCTCCTGTCATCTCCCACAGTCACTTGAGCCCCAAATCCTTGTTCTCCCTTCCCACCCCTGATCTGTAACACCCAACACATACATGAGCCCCAAGGAGGGACAGGGCAAGAGGTGGGAAAGGTGACAGGAGGGCCTGGAGGGGACCCTGGGGGTCTCTGGCTGCCCACTCCCACCAGCAGCCTGGGTTGAGACAACAACTCACCTTCCCAGCTCTGCCCAGGTGAGAAGGCGGCAGAAATTGAGATAAAGATGCCTAAGGGCTACCAGAAACATAAACTGTGAAATTTGTGCCTTTTCCTCTCTCCTCTTGACATCTATCCACACCTTCACCTTCCCATCCAGAAGCAGACACAGCTCTTTATCCACCCAGCCCACCCTCTGAGCAGCAAGGACCTGAGCCCACATTGCCATGGTTCTATGTTTCACACCACTATGATTCCATCAAACCTCAGCCTGGACACTTGCACGGGCAACTGAGCTGCTTCCCACTCATCCTGGGGTGCTTTAGGCCCCCATCCTGAGCTGGGTGGCACGGGAAAAGTACAGCAAGGCTTTTTTTTTTTTTGGAACACCTCTCTCATCCCCCGGAGAGAAGCAGCTGCAATGGGTTTGTTTATTTCACAGAATCCCAGAATAGTTTGGGTTGGAAGGGACCTTAAAGATCATCTTGTTCTACCCCCTGCCATGGGCAGGGACACCTTCCACTATCCCAGATCGCTCCAAGCCCTGTCCAACCTGGACACTTCCAGGGATGGGGCAGCCACAGCTTCTCTGGGCAACCTGTGCCAGGGCCTGCCCACCCTCACAGCCAAGGATTTCTTCTGATACCCAATCTAAACCTACTCTTCATCACTCTGAAACCCTTCCTCTTTGTCCTGCCACTCACAACCACTTTCACCGACTCCAGCACGGTCTCATTTACTCCGTCACAGTTTCAATCTCATTCGCTTGACTCCTGCGGCCGCTTCATTCCGCTTTTTCACTCCGTTTGACACAAATCAACTCGAACTTATTTCGCTCCGCCGGGGAGGAAGGCGGGGTGGGGGGGAGGAACCTGAGCATCCTCCGGAGAGGAGCCGGGGAGGAAGAGGGAAAGGGAGAAGGAGAGGAAGAGGGAAAGGGAGAGGGGAGGGGGCCCGAGCATCGCCGCGGGGGGGTCTCGGCGGCAGCGCTGCCCATGCACATTCTCTCCGGGCGGCGGCGCGGCTCCCGCTCGGCTCCGGCTCCGGCTCCGCTCCGCCCGGCCCCGGCGGCACGAACATGGCGACACGGAGCAGAGCCGGGGCTGGCCGGGCCGCCCTGCGCCTCCTGCCTCTCCTACCGCTCCTGCTGCTGCTGCCGGCGGCGCCGGCCGCCCGCTCCCCGCTGCTGCTGCTCCGCTCCCCGCATCCCCCCGCCGCATCCCCCGCCGAGCCCCCGCGGGGCCGCCGCGCCGCGCCGCGCCCGCCCGAGCCCATCCAGGTGTACGGACAGGTGAGCACGGGGGGACACGCGAGCCGCCCCCGCAGCGAGCACCGCGTCCCGTCACCCCCCACCCCCGGCCGCCCCATCCTTCCCTCGGGTGAGCGCTCGGGGGGGATGCAGGGAGAGGGGGGCGGAGCGGGTCCCGCGTGGGGAAGGGTCGGTGCGGCGCTCGCCGGCAGCTCGTTCGCCGCTCCATTCGGGTTTTTTAGGGGCTGCTCTCCCCCCCGCCCCCCACCCAGAGCCATCCCGCGCGGGGGGCACCGTCACATTCGCGTCTCCACTTGGCGGTCCCCGGCCGAGATGCTCTCCCGGCGGGAGCAGCCAAGGGCACGCGCGAAGGGATGCGGGGCCGGTCATCCCCGCCGGGAGCGATTCCCTGCGGCTGGGAGCGGGCGGGAGGTGGGCAGCGGCAGCTCTCTCGTGGGGATGATGCTCGTGATGAATGAGCATCCCTGCGCTGGGAGAGCCGGGCAGAGGGAGGGTGACTCCGGGAGAGGACATGGCTATTTGTGAGGCACCGCGTCCTTCTCCCTGCGCTGCGTGTCTGAACCATCCTCCACTGATCCTTGGAAAAGAGGGGGAGAGGAGTTGCTCGTCGCAGGAAAACCTAGAAACTGCTATTTCTGAAAGTATTCGGGCTCGATTCACTGGCAAGTTTTGCTGCCAGGACCATAAAGGCTCCCCCTCACCCCCTCTTTTCCAGGCAACCATCACTTTAGGGGTGATGAGGACTTACACTTGGACTTTTGGGTGCCTGCTATGGAAAGCTTCAGCTTTGAAGAGTCTACTCTATTTTTTGAGTATCCACATGCTCGACAACATTACGCTGCCCCACTTGACCCTCCTTGCTCACTGTGTCCCCTCATGTGCCTAAAATGCTGCTGGGGGAGGAACCAGCCCATAGAGGGACAAGGCACACTCAAGGAGAGGCTTTGAACCTTCAGTGACATTTGCATTTGCCTCCTAGGTTAGTGCTTTCCCTCTGGGTGACCTATAATTTCCCCTTTTTGCTACTAGGAGGATAAGAAGGAGCCAGTCACGAGGCAGGGCTGGCCCTGGAGCTGCTGGAGGGGCACACACAGGGCTGGTGCTGCTCCTAAAGCCCTTCTGTTCCCTTGTTTAGGGAAAAGCTGTTCCTCCTCCCCTTGAAAATCTGCTTCGCCTCCTCTACCTCCTCAACGTTTGGCTGTTTTTAGCACAACACAGCTACCCCATTTTAGAAAAAAATACCATGACACTTGTCTCTCATCTACAGAAAGACATTTGTAGCACTTTCCCTTCTGTCTCCCCGTGGCTTTCATCCAACCCACCTGCCAGGTAGAGCTGCTTTGGCAGGAGCAGCCTCTGTCACCTGGACATGGAGCTGCAGATCCAAGAGGGTGCAGTAACCCTGTCGCTATCCAGGACAGGACTAATGGGAAGCAGTGGGAGTTCAACAGTTTGCCACTGTTTGGGCTTTTCTCATTGCCTTAAGCTTTCAGAGGGGATTTGCCTGGAGAATGGAGCTGCTTTTTGCTGGTAGAATAGCAAACAGAACCTGTTCCTTCTGCTGCTTCAGGGCAGGACACATAAATAAAACCCCAGGTATGTCACCAGGAAGAGTTGTTTGTCACTAAACAACAGTTCTCCCAAGTGCCACAGGGCTTTAAATCAGGGTCTGCTTTAACAAAAGGGACAAGAAGGAGCCTGTGTGTCCCAGCCTGTGTTACAGATCTGACCACACAAATTACTAATGC